TCCTTTATATCGGCAGGTGTAGGCCAAGACTCGCCGAACTCACACTCTCTTATTGACGAAAATATTAATATTTTTTGAGTTATTAACGAAAAACTAATTACCATTTTTTTAAATCTTATTTTGGTAATAACAATTGCAATTTTTTACCTGCACCAAAATCCTTCGAAAACATTTTTCTAGAGGTTATTCCGAATCGAATGAGCTACCGCTCATATTTTTAGGACCTTTATCTCTATTTTTCATGTTTTTGAACGTGTAGGCTAATCATTGCCACTAAGTGGTAACTGAGCAGATGAAATGTATTACTTCTTTGGCATGTTAACCCTCTTCGTCTCATAATTTTACCCGCTGACGAGGTCCTATAATTTCACTGGATTATAGATTTATCGATTTCTTCCTTCCAATAGTGAATAAAAAACAGAAATGAAACATTTCTCAAGTCGAGATTGTTCAAATAAAAACTAAATTTGAATACTTCTAATTAAGATATTGTGAAGAGTTCAGTGTTGAGTTATGTTTTCTATTTCAGGAGTAAATAGCGTTTTACAAACGAATCTCACAAAAAAGCAATGGGCAATCGGCGGAGCAAAAATTGAACTTCTAGAGGAATTCAGAAAACTGAGAATTATTTTCAATGGATTATTGAGAAATATTTCATATACTACACAAGAAAGAATCGAACATGTGCAGTTCAATTTCATGTATGTTATTAACCATATTAGCGAAAAACTCCTGCAGACAAATTATTATCAATTTTAGGATAAGACTATTGACTAATAATGTCTTATTTAGGAAGAAAATTTTTCACAGAGCTTATATAACTCAAGTTAAAAATGTTATTATATTTAACGATCCTGTTTTATAACACAAATTCTAACAATTTTTTTTTCCTGTACTACTTGTGCATATTCTTCGTTGACCGTGCCATATTCTTCTGGATATAATTTTTATTTCAATGTTCACCTTTTTCGTTGCCTGTGATCTCTGACAATCTCAGCACCTAGTCTCGACACCCTTGGGTTTGGGTTTATCAGTTGGTATCCTAATGATATCTGGTCCTGGATTATGGGTTCATTATCAAATCTTAGCATCTTCCAACTATTGTACCAACACGTCAAAAATTTAGAGATCCAAGACCTCTCTCTTTCTTAGTCCTCTTAGTAAATGCTGCAAGGATTTGGATGAGCTTATTGAGTCCTACTTCTTACCCCATCTGGATCGGCGTTTCAGGGAATAATTCACAACAACAATTTTTGAATCAGAATATAGGATTTTCAATTATATCCAAGCTTGTATTGACGTAATAGTCGTTCAAAAAAATGGAATGTGCTAGAATCAACTACAGACTGAAATTGTTGGGCCCCTTCCCTAATTATTGTCGGGTATACATTACTAACACTTTTTAATGCATTTGTCGGTAGTATACTGGAATATAATGCAATAGTATAGTCTCCTTATTATTTAGTTCATAAAAATGAAATAGAAAAGGTACAAAAAAAATTCTTAAGATTTCTACATTACAAAAAACATGGTGAATATATTTTCAATCTTAGTTATCAATTAGTCAATTCCTTGAATTAACATCCTTAGGATTTATAAAAAAATTGCTTTTCTATCATTTTTCTATAAGCTATTGCTTGTTGACTTGTTGTCAAAAATTTATCTGAACTGCAGAACATACTTCTATAATAGAAGGAAAGATATATTTGTTTTGCCTAAACCTCGAACCAACCTATGTTTAAATTCCCCACTATACAACATTAAAAAAAATATCGAAATGGAGATGTTATCCTTAGAAATTATTACTAGTTGTAACTGAGAGTCTATTTAATTTAAAAAGTCCATTTGTCATTCACAACTGAAGGTATCTTTGAATCTGATTTTAATTCAGGTGATTTGGAGTAACTTTAGTTAGTCGTTGTATTTTATTGGTTATGGTTATTTAATTAGTTTTTGTTACTGTAATCGATCATTAGAACTGCTTGTTCTGTAGATTACTTAATAAATAAAAT